GTTCTAACACGCCCCCACATATCTAGGTCACTATGTGGGAATATTTGCATAATGCGCCCAAATGTGCACGCAAAGAAAGAAGGCGTGGTTTCAGTAACCGCAGTTAGTGTTGAAGCAGCCATGTCAGGGAGACGCTGTGTGTTTCAGTGCGAAAGCAAAAGCACTTTATTTGGCCTTCCGAAAGTAGATGCATTTAGGAATCTTTAAGATTACTTACAACAGAACAGCAATGCATTTTATGGACGACCGTTTCGTGAACCTAGGAGAGGAGGTAATTCTGACTTTGCTATGACAATCTGGCGCTTCTGAATCAGCTACTGTAAGTATGTTTTGTTATTAGTTTAAGTATTTGCTATTGACTGTTCAAATGCGGAGTTTTGCGCATCGTGTGTGTGTGTGTGTGTGTGTGTGTGCGCGCACGCGGGTCACAACCGTCTTAACCGTGGCTTGTGTAATGCAAACACATATCAGCTTCATCACTGTGTCTGTCACGCGACTCTGTTCCCCTTTCGGGCTCTGTCTTTACATTTATTTTGAAGATGAAGCTCGCGATTATGGTAAGGGGCGTTACATTTCCGACGCGTGCTTGTGGTGTTCGGCCAATCACAATGCACTGGGTCAGCTGGCCAATCAGAGCAGACTGCGCTTGTCGGAAGGAGGGACTTTGTAGAAAACTAAGCGTTTGAGAGAGGCGTGGCATAGAGGACCTACAATAATGTACAGTATTTGAAACATAATGTGTTTTTTGAACATTAAAGCATGTCAACATATTCTGATACACCAAATACACAAAATAATGATCTTTAAAAAAGCATCATATGACACCTTTAAAATGATCTGCAGTCTTGAATGCTTCTTTACTATGTCACACCAACAGACGCCCATATGTCTCTAAGCAGTCTGTGCATTTTACCACAAAAAACACATTTGCACACACATACACATTTACAAGGCCTGGGTCTACAGAGCAAAGAAACATGCTCCTAAGGCAAATAAAAAATATATATAAGTATAAAGTATATAGAGCCTACACTAAGTGAAATCATGAATTTAAATAAATTTTCTCCTCTTCTCCCCTCTCTATAGGAACTGAGCTATATCGGCTCTGAATGAAGTCTGTGTGCTGCTGGTTTAGAATGTTGTCACGATAACATCAGCCTGACTCCGCTCTGACTGCGGCAGGTGGGAGCCCAGGGGTCAGGTAATGGTGACACTGGGTCGTTTTAAGCTCAAACACACACACACACACACTCTCACATGCACGCTCACGCTAAGCCTGTAGTGGGATGTTTGCTACGGAAAATTCCGTTACCCTCGGAAGGAGGCTGATTATGACTGCTTGTTTAAACACCATGCCTGAATGTTTTTGCTCACTTTGGACACTGGGGTCTTTAGACTCCTTCCATTCTGCCATCCTTCACTGCAAAAATCAGTTGTAATGAGGATTTTTGTTGAGTAAAAATATCTTAGCATATCTAAAACTAAATCATTTACTCAAGACTTGTTCCTCTTCAGGAACTCGAGCTGCGTCGGAAAACGCTAGGGGAACGCCCTTCAGCGTGACCGGCTCCGAACCTCGTGTGTAATCAGACCAATAGATGGGCGAGACGTCACGGGCGGGTGACGTAATGACCAGGAGGCTATAAAAGCACGTGCGGTGAGACCAGCGTCAGCTTTTTGTCATTCAGCAAGCGCTCTGTGTGTGTGTGTCAGTCTGATATCTGTTTGTGAGTCTTATTTAGTGTTGTCTGTCACGAATCTAAAAACAAGACGAAACCATTCACCTAAGGCGAGGGCAGGCAGCATTCAGGCTGTGTGTTCCTCCCTGTCCGCGTTACTTTACGGGTGGGGATACACACAGTTTGTTTGCTGTCTGCTTGGGAGCAAGCACGCAGAGTCAGCTCTCGTAAAAAAAAAAGGAGCTGACGGCCCGTTTTGGTGTTACTGCCGTGCTTTGCTCTCAGAGGGCTCTCTTTGGGGAGAAAGCCTTCACTAGCGTTTCACGCGGTGCCGGCCCCGCTTTTGCCGAGGCGGAGCGGTGGCTGTGCTCGAGCTGACACTGGTCTCACCGCACGTGCTTTTATAGCCTCCTGGTCATTACGTCACCCGCCCGTGACGTCTCGCCCATCTATTGGTCTGATTACACACGAGGTTCAGAGCCGGTCACGCTGAAGGGCGTTCCCCTAGCGTTTTCCGATGCAGCGTCTCGTTCCTTCGAGGAACTATGGTTACATATGTAACCTGAGACGTTTTCTGACAACATATGTGACCCTGGACCCCAAAACCAGTCATAAGTGTCAATTTGTAATAAGCTTTCCATTGATGTATGGCTTGTTAGGATAGGACAATATTTGGCCGAGATACAACTATTTGAAAATCTGGAATCTGAGGGTGCAAAAAAATCGAAATATTGAGAAAATTGCTTTTAAAGCTGTCCATATGAAGTTCTTAGCAATGCATATTACTAATCAAAAATTAAGATTTAATATATTTACAGTAGGAAATTTACAAAATATCTTCATGGAACATGATCTTTACTTAATATCCTAATGATTTTTGGCATAAAAGAAAAATCATTTTGACCCATACAATGTATTTTTGGCTATTGCTACAAATATACCCCAGCGACTTAAGACTGCTTTTGTGCTCCAGGGTCACATATGCTAAATGAAGTTGAATACTATTATTATTATTTATATTTTTAAGCACAAACCTGATTATGTTTTGATTTAAAATAAATGTATACAAAAAGGTTTTCAACTGGATTTAGAAAATAATCATATTCAAGATATATTCTCTGAATACATGTCTTAATATCAGTTTGTTCCTGAAGTAAATTTTCAAGTTTTAAATTTTTAATACAAGATTCTTTTGCTCAAAGATATTTACAAAAATCACGAATGTGCACATTAGGTCTTGTTTTTAAATCTTAATTTCTTGTTTTTAGGATGAACCTTAATACATTTTGTAGATTTCTCTAAAACGTTGTCATTTTCCTTCTCAAATAAATGCATATTGTTTTAAGGATGTTGGGATGTTTTTAATTGGGTTTGAAAAATAGACTTCAAGGTTTATTCTTTGAAAATTAGTCTTAATGTCTTTGAACAATGCTTAGATATTTTTACTGGAAAGTTAGATAAAAATACTAATTAAGAAAATGATTTTTGCAGTGATCTGGATGCCAGTCTTGTCTGATTGTCGAAATATAGTGTTTTTTGCTATGCTAAGAAATAACATTGGTCATTTTTTGGTCATTTTATTCTTTGAAGCAAATTAATGAGTTTTTGGCACTGTGTATCTCTAAGTGATGTAATATTTGTTACGAGAAAATAAGAGATCAACAAAAGAACAAATCCATTTTAAATGACACTTTTAACATCTTAAAGATATTCATTAAGGACATTTTAATTATAAATAGGAGCCTTGTCTTTTGGAGATATCTGTGAAATGACAAAAGTCCTCAAGCGAAATGACTTGTCATGTGACATGTGACCAGCCTCTGTCTTCTTCAGTGTAGCTGTTGCGTAATTTATACAGGCCTATATTGGCATATTTCTGCTTTCTGCAGTACCAGTTACTCAAAAGTATCTTGCTTCTGTGTTTGATGGTTTAGGTGTTCATGAATAATGCTTCTGCAGTCTGTTATTGAATTTTAACTCTATACCCTTAATCGCTTTCAGATAAAGTGTTTTTCTTTGCACAGAGACCTCATCAGTATTTACCTCTTGTTTCAGTATCTGTCGTTTTGTGTTTTTCAGTCTGTGAGTGAGGGCTGAGTCATGAGTGAATCAGCGCTGCTTCTGATTGACGGACAGCTCGGTGGGAAACAAGGCCTCGGGAGAGCGAGAGTCCGATAACAGGAGTGAAAGCGTCGCAACGGCAATATCATCTTTCAGTCTTTACTGCCACTCTTCTTTCACAAAATGGCCTCTGCGGTAGCACCGCTCTCCTCTGTCGCTGCCTCTTTGGGGACGTAGAAAGACACGGGACACACGGACACATTCTTACATACTGCCGCAGAGGAAAGCTGGGGAAGTGTCTTCAGACTTTAAGGTCCTTAATAGATAAACAAACTGTGTTAAACGTTAGTACCATCACAACTACTGTTTCTTGGTTTGGGAATCGTCTTAATGTTTCAAAGGGACTCATAGTACCATGAGCGTTTTAGGAAGGTGCGTTCTCTGATTTTATATGTTCCTGTGTGACATCGAAGGCCAATGCGTGTGGCTCAAGAGCCCATCATGGCCAGGCCGCTGCTGAAGATCCACCGCTATTTCCGGCGTAAACCGATACGCTTTTTCTCTTTCATCCTCCTCTACCTCACCGCTGGCAGTCTTGTTTTCCTCCACTCCGGCTTCTCCAGCGATACTTCCACTACTGGAGCTTCTGGAAGCGGCCGTGACCCACTTATATCTGAAGGTGGGGGCGGCACAGGTGCTGGGAGCTCTACCTCTGATGCTCTCGGGCTCCTAGGAAGAGTGTTTAAGGAAACACGGAGAGTCCCCCGGAGATTTGGACCACCGTGGATGAAGGAAAATGGGGCACAGGATGCACCGGAGTGGGCCAGACGAGGAGTCGATCGTACCAGCAGCTGGAGCCATGGAGCCAAAGGAAGAACCACCAAAGAGATGGACGATGGGAGAGGTAGGAACAGTTCCATTAATCATGTCACCATGATTTAACATCTGTTTTAACTTCTGTCATAAACATCTTCTTGGCTAGTTATAGTCATAGAAGATGTTCTGATATTAACCAAAATTGAAGAATGTATGGCAAGACTATTGACCAAACCAATTGCCTAAAATGGAATGAATTTTCATTCTAGGCCAACCTGATTAATACTACACTGCAAAAAAAATATTTTTCTTGATCATTATTTTTGTCTTGTTTTCAGTAAAAATATCACAATATCTTCTTAACCAAGATACATTCATTTGAGGAGGGAAAAAAATACATTTCAAGAAATCTACCAAATTTATTAAGGTTTGTGCTGAAAGCAGTAAAACAAAGTGACATGTTATTGTTCTAAACATTAACCTCACAAAAATTGTTAGAATTCTATAAAACAAGACTTCAAATCTTATGTCAATTTGTAAAAAAACAAACAAAAAAAAAAACGGGAAAATATCTTAAATGTATATTGTGTAAAGGGTGTTTTGATGTTCATACTTGACATGACAAAATACAGATTTTTTTTAACCAGCATAGACAAAACATTTTGCTGATTTTGCTGGTGAAGCTAGTTGACTAGAACAGTCTCTCTAATTAAGCTGATTGACCAAGGAGGTCTTTCTGGCTAAGCATTTAAAAAACTGCTGTCAGTCTTTGAATTTTCATCTTGATATACACAGAGGATTTTCCTTATTTAATAGAATACCTTACATGTTCTCACACAGACATGGCACATGCGGTTATGTGTGTTAAAAAAAGAAATTATTAAAGGGTTAGTTCACCCAAAAATGAAAATTAGCCCATAAATTACTCACCCTCAAGTCATCCTAGGTGTATATGACTTTCTTCTTTCAGACGAATCCAGTCGGAGTTATATTAAAAATTGTCTTTGATCTTTCAAGCTGTTTCATGGCACTCAGCGGGTGTTGCATGCATCAGTCTAAAAGCAGTTAATTAAAATGCGCCCATCCATAAAAAAAAAGTGTCTCACACGGCTCCGGGGGATGAACAAAGGCCTCCTGTAGCGAATCGATGTGTTTTTGTAAGAAAAATATCCATATTGAAGACGTAATAATCACTTTAATGTAGCTTGCGCTCACTGTTGTACACTGGAAGCAGTTGCGGGCGGATGACGTATGAGGTCGGCTTTGCGCACGCGCCGCTCAGAAGTGACGAACGCGGAAGCGCAGCGGAGAGAT